TTGTACTTTCTAAAATGTCTGCAGCCTTCTGTTTCCTTGCTCCGTGATCTTCTCTACAGTTGGAATGGCTCATTGCCTGTTTAGCCTGAGTGCTTCTGTTTTCTGTCTCCTGTGTAGAGACCTGGCTTAGGCCCTTCATGGTAAGAGTGTTTATGAGAACTTAGCATGTGCACATGTAGCGCTCATAGAAGCACTTTACATGTGTCTCTGAGAAAATCTCCAAAATAACTTGGTGGGGTGGGAGCTGCTGTTAGCCTCCTTTTCTGGATAACTAGAATAAAAACACTTAAGTGACTTGTCCAAGGTCAACCAGCAAGTAAGTAGTAGAAACAAGATGAGAACTCAGGCAAGTCTCACTCCAGCGCTCTCTGGCTCTATGCTGCCCTGCCTATGGTTTTTATGCCATATCCTGTAATCATCAGATAACTCCAAAACTTGAGCATCATTGTCTTTCCTATTACAGATAGGAAAATGGAAATGAGATTAGAAGTCCTTTTCAAATGTGACATCAGCAAGTGAGGAGATGGAATTTGAACTAGAGTATGTCTTCATCCCTTGCATGCATTTGGCCTTCTTGCCTATCCATCTCTTGTGAATTAAATCAGCAAAACTATCCATGTGGAATCCATTCTGGGCACTGATAATATTAAGTTTCTGCACTTGTGAACTTATGAGTCAAGTGAAATTTATAGCAATAACTTGTAGCACTAAAGTATATCCTCAAATCAACTTCATAAATTTCATTTTTCCTCTAGGTGGTATTCGTGACAATGAAACCATTTAGGGGATTCCTCTAGCAACCATGCATTATTGCTCAGCACTCTGCTCTAGTTTTCCTGCTTTGGAAAAGTGTTTCTGCATAACTTTTAACGTTACTTTAGAATTCTACAATGTAGAAACAAGAGGACTTTTGATGTTAGCCATAAGAGAATGATTGCTCCAGACATCTGTTTGGTTACAATGAGCAAAGTGCAAAGCACAGGAAAAAGGTGAGTAATGGGAGTGCAGGAGTGCAATCCAGGAAGAAGGGAGTAGATGAGGAGAGCCTGTCCCCTCAGAAGGCACTCCTTGTGGTAATTTTGGAATTGTATTTCAGGGACCGGAAATGCACACAGCCTGCATGTTACTGTTGAGAGGCAGAGATGGGAGCCAGGGAAGACCAAGGTGGCTGGAATTTGTGAGCAGAACAGCCAAGAGAAGAGAAAGATGCAGATAAAGAGTTCTTGCTGTCTGCAGAGCCGACCTCTTGGGTCTTTGGTCATTGAACTCCATCACTTTGGGCAAAAACGCTTCCAGAGGAAGAACTAACACTGAGGAGCAGTAGGCTAGCCATTTCTTGTGCATCACAAGGCGAGAATCACTGAGATTCCACTAGCCAAAATATAGACATCATTTCAATCACTAATCTCACACACCAGCAACAA